CCAAAAAGAAAAACCCACACCCCCGCCCCCTGTTCTCCCAGCCACAGAACCGACAGGGAGGTTCCCAGGGAAGGAACAGGAGTGGCAGAAAGAGAAGGTAAGACAGACCTGCCAATTGTAGGGAATTGTAAGGGCAACAGGCAAGGGAAACTCACCTGCCAATGCTCTTAGGTTAAAATCTGCTGATTATGCTTGGAAACAAACGATTAGCTGGGTGTCTCCACGTGGAGCCAAAAGCTATGAAGTTGGTAGCCTGCATGCTCAGAAGGGCATGTGTCTGCTCTGCTGGGTTGGGTTGTTTGAAGACATTGCAGAGATTTTAGGCAGTGGTAAATGCATTAGTTTCCACATAGTGAAATACAGGAATGCTTCAAGGTCATTTGAATACACTTGCCCACATAACTATTCCTTATTGGCATCTGCCAATTTAACATCTCTTCATCCCAAAGGGCTGCTTGCTGCCACTTGCTCCCCTGCCGGGACCCAGCTGAGCGGTGCAGCGCTCGGCCGAACTGCCAGGGAGGGAGGAGAGGGGGGGCGGGGCGCTGATGTACACGGCCAGGGGGCGTGGCCGTGTATGTCAGCGTTAGACGCACAAACAATGTGCATATGTATGTGTGATAAGACAATTTATTTTTTTTCCTCTTTTAGTACTTACAGAAAAGGCCTGAGATTTTTTTTAATTTTTTTTTTCGATTTTTTTTTTTTTTTTTTAGTGGCAATATCAAGTCTGGTGTTCCCTGATTTCGCTGAAATACTTCATGGGAGAATCTCTAATTTTTTTTTTTTTTTTTAACCTCAGATGCCTTTATTAAAGTGAAAGGGTATTGAATCGTCTACAAAGATCCTTCCTCCAAAATTTGGTAGCCATTGAAATCAATCAGTTTATGCCCCCCTAAGTCTGACTAAAATTCTGTGGTTTTAGTTACTCAGCTGTCAGAGGCTCTGATTTTGCTGGTTTTCCATTCATCATCACAGACTTCCAGAGCAGATGAAACCTTGGTTTCTAGTAAACCTAGTTAATCATTTTTTGTTCAAACAAAAATATTTTCAGGCCTTTATACATCATAAAGAAACAAACTCATCAAGTTGAAACTTTTTTTCAATGTTTGCTACCCCTTTGTAGTTTATTTGGGTTTGAAAAAATTTAGTAACTTTTTAAATATGTTCTAAGAAATTCATTCTGTTGGTCGCAACTATTGCTGATTTAGGGTGTTCATCTCTTAGGGTATGTGTGTGTCTGAAAGTTTTGGTGCCAAAATTATAGGAAATCCTCACTATTCGTGGTGGATGGGTTCCTGCATCCACCACAAATGGCAACATTTGTGAATACTGGGAAGTGACTCTTTGCCCCTGCAGTGAGCTCCCTACAGTTCCCAAATTCACCACAGCGGTTGGGTGCTCCGGGGAAGTAATCACAGCTGCCGGGACAGGAAACCAGTGAATATGTGGAACAGTGAATAGCTATTCCAGAAATAGAAAGGGTCTTCTATAATGTCAACATGCAGAAGTCACCAAAAAAAAGTTTAAAGGCATGTTTGACAGATCATGGCCACATTTGTTGCTCCCATGTCAACAGACTGAGCAATGCTCACTGAAATTCACCGAAATTGGGTGTGTTTCATGCCTTTTATGTTGAAGCGTGAATGCTATGGTTTTGTTGCCAAAAAGATGGTTGCCAATGTAGACCTGCCCCTAGTCATATTTGGAAAATTACTACTTGTGCTGTTTAGGAGTCTGTGCTTCTGCAGGCTATTTGGCTGTTTTCTAACTGCTAACTTGTGGGCTACTTTCATGATACTGCTTCTCAGTTTATCTTGCACCTTTGGACAACAGCATGAACTGCTGTACCACATCAGAGCAGTGGCCCATCTAGTCTGGTACCCTGTGAATACTAGGCACTTCAGAGAAAGGTACATAGTTCAGTTACAGAATGACTTACCCATAGAATAAGTTTTTTCAAACTAAGGGCTTGTGGTTTGTTTGAGTCCTTGTTCACGTCGATTCCAATCAGATGTACGTGCACTGCGCGCACGAGCATTGGAAACTTTCCCCTAGCAACTCCTATAGGGTGAGCTGTGGAGATCCTTAAAGTGGTGTCGCTATGTTAGTGCACATATACCACATGCAGAAGTCACCAAAAAAAAGTTGCAAAGGCATGTGTGTTTGGCAGATCATGGCCAAATTTATAGCTCCCATGTCAACAGACTGAGCAGTGCTGACTGAAATACACCATAATTGGGTGTTTTTCATGCCTTTTACGTTGTAGCGTGAATGCTATTGTGATATATTGGTGCACATAACACAACCAAATCTGCCCTCCCTCAGCTCCATCTTGCCATCCATCATGGTGTTGGAACTTCCTGGCTCTTGCCTTGGCACGTGTCTAGTCCCTAGTCTATAGCTCTCTTCGTTGTCCTCTTTGTTTGAGTAGTGAGCCTTCAGCATCAACAGACCAGCAGGCAAGTTCTTAAGAGCTATAGCCCCTGCGGGGTGCCAGGGCATGCCTAACACCCCAGCCTTTAAATTGTGTGCAGTGTGTAAGCGCCCCATGCCCAGTAGCAATCCACACTATGCATGCCTTCTCAGTGTGGTGTTTTTCACCCAAAAATTGAAGTGCAAAATCTGTAGAAGGTTTAAGCCCCACACCAGAAAGGACCAGAAGTACAGGCTCCAGCAGCTCCTTATGGAAGCAATGCTAAAACCCCCTCAGGCAAAGCTTTAGACACATTGAGCCAGCTTGGTGCAAAATGCTTCAGGTTCTGTTCATGATAGTGCACCAAAACCAAGTGCAACCAAGGACTCCCAGACCTGAGGTTCCCTAGCACCAAAGACCAAGGGTCCAGGACATAGGTCAGCCTCACCATCACCATGAGGCAGGAGGGAAGACAAGCGTAGATCCCCTCAGAGTCTGGCCTGACCAAATGTTATAGAATTCTCCAGCGCAAGTGGTCCAGGATGTGCTGTCGATTTCAGTCCCGAGACCGGCACCGTTGAGTCCAGCACGTGGCCTGTCACCAAAAGACATAAGTCCGATGCAGATCTTGAACTTTCCCTCAATGCCCAAGACCTCATAGCAATTTCGGAGGCTGACGCCTCATGGGTGCGCATTAAACCGCCAAGACTGCACTGCTCTAGGAGATAGCCAGCAATGCTGCATAGACCACTCTGCGGAACAGCACCGGGACAGGTCATCCTTGTCAAGAATCACATATGCCAGTATAGCACACACCAGCATTGGTGCCAAGAGGGGGCTCAGCACCAACTCCCAGAGCATCACTGAGCGAACGACACTTGGCACCAAGATCCATCTCCCTATCTAGGTTGAGGTCCAGAAGCGCTTGGCACCGTTCTGGGTCCAGACTCTCCCAGTACCACTCACAGTCGCTAAGAAGGTCTCAGTATGTGACGTCAGCACCACCATG